AAAAAAGTGCTGCATTTAGATGTGAATAGATTCATAAAACATGCAAGATAACAAAAAATTTTAGCTTCATGAGTTGGTTTTGAAACCCAGTATGGGATTCTGAGATACATTACCAAAGATATTATTACAATATAAATCATTTGCTTCATTGAACACATACAACAATGCATATTTCCACTGAGATCAGTGACCTTTGATGTGTATCACCAGTGATCAGTCAAGTAGAAACAGTCAAAATATTTTATCAGATTTTCTCAATTTTTGCATGATATTTTCATACAGGACATCTGTTGTTCAAACTCAGGGAAGACTTTATACTGATGAATAAGGTGACCAAGTTTGATAAAGTTTGGAATAGAATTAGTAAAGTTATTATGCACACAATAACAATTATTAACGACGACGACGACGACGACAACAACAACAACAACAACGCCAACGCCGGACAAAATTGTTCCCTTAATATACCTTTCCCTTCCATCTTTGATGGTACGGGCAAGGTAAAAAACGTAAATTTGATGTGCAAAGATACATGTATAGCAGGGATTTTTTGAAACAAGGGAACAGGGGCGCAGCGCCCTCATGCTATGGCCATGTACCCCCTTACCCTGGGGAGCAGATCCTCTGGCAACCATAAAATTCTGATTGACCAGGGATCACATGTGGCCAGTCTTCAAGTGTGACCTGTCTGATAGTAATTTTGGGCCCAAGAAAGCCATAGAATGCTTCATTTTAACCATATCAAAAATTCCACACCCTGGTAGGGAGAACCCTATCTCCCCCATTTGGTGGTTCCACGACTGTGATATTTCCAGTCCATACAATGTACTGTAAATGCATTAATTATTCACTTGGTTTTATTTTCACTGATAAGTGAAATCCACTATATCAAATCTATGTCAACATGCAAAATAACAATAAAAATTATTGTTTCCTTGACAAATTGTGAAATTAAAACACAGTGAATATGTTCATATGCTTAATATAATGTGCTTAAATGTCAGAGAAAATAAATGATTATACAGTATGTAAATATACAGCCCCGTAAAATGCAAAGAAGACTGAAAAGTGAGATATTTGATGTTCACTTTTGATGAACTGTTAGTATTCTAATTTAGACGTCTTTTTGAACATTTCAATCTTTCCAGACGGCTAAATTAGTCCAATTTTTTTTTTTTTTTTTTGTAGCCACTGATGCCAATTCAAGAATACTATGTTTATTACGACTACCTTGAATGGTAAAGATCTTTTTGACAATGGGCTGTTTCAAACGTTTATATAATTTTTGTTCTCACTTTATTCTTAAATGTGAAAATAAAAATATGGTGCACCTACCACTAGCTGCTATACGATTGGTCTTTAGAACATACTTGGGTACTCGGAGAGTGCAGACTTCCTGGAAGCCATCACTGGGTAATTTGAGAGAGGGTTCCCATCGATCAAACTCCACATTATAACACTGCAATGTTCTTCTCGTCTTGAGATTACCAATCGCAAACTGTCCGTGTAGAGTCAGAATGTATCCATTCCAGACCGTACTTCGGTGACCAGTCATGGAAAGTCGATTCTGAATTAACTCATCTGTTGGGATTTCCACGGATGTTAACCATTCATCTGTTTTGGGGTCATAACACTCAATGCTAAATTCGCTGGCGATTGTCATGGAAGACTTGACGATTCGTCCCCCGATTACGTATATGTGGTCATTCACCACAGCCATGGTGTGCCATGCTCGTTTGTTCGGCAACTGTGCCTTCTGTTGCCAGTTCAGCGTCTCAGGATCGTACATAAGCAGATTCTTCGAGTATAATGAGCCATCAGTGCAGCCGCCTGAAATGTAAATCTTTCCGTTATAGACACACCCACCCATACCATACATAGGCCTGGGTAATGATGTACCATACTCCCACACGTTGAGGATCGGGTTATAGAACTCACTGAAACCAGCCCGTCTCGCAGTAATGCATTCCGGCCACCCATTGCATACAGATATCCCTGACAAGCAAGCAGACAGAAGTTAGTGCGTTTTGCATGCATTGACGCAACGAATGACCACCTATTAAATCTAGGATCATATCGATAAACGGCATCACTTGTGTATTCACAGCCCATGGGGTCAGTTTCGTAACAGTCATGATCTTCACCTCCAGCAATGTAAAGAAAGTTGTCCAACGCTGTGACACTGTAAGCAATGTGTTCCATTGGCATATCGGTGAGAACCTGCCAATCTGAAAGCTCCCCATCAAAGTAATACATCTGGCTGCATGAATAAGGATTGCCAGCAACCCCGCTTGTAGCCAGAAGAACCTCTTCGTCGCACGGCAGACAATCATCATCAATTATGTGGTACGGCAGTGCGTGGAACTTCATTGCTTCCAGTAAATGAGTACGGCAATTTACCCCATCAACCATGAAATCAACACTCTGCACATGGTCAATCACGTCTTCTGGGGACATACGACAGAAGTTGATGTGTTTCACCAATAAGCTTGCACCTTGTTGTCGATTTTCCGGATCGTACTGAACCCACTTGAGGAAGACACTAAAAACTTGCAGAGGTGGATAAAGGCTGAGTTTGTCGCTTTTTAGGAAGGTATTCATCTGGTACACAGATAACTCCATGATCTGGTCGATGTCTTTGGTCGCCGTCAACATGAACTTATCCATGGTTCTCTCATCGTCAACAAACCGATCTAACAAACTATACATCGTTGCAGCATTGGATAAATCCAGAAAGTTCTCGACACCAAGTTCCGATTGAAGATAATTAACGCAGAAATCTAAGGCGGTCTCCATCTGGAAATGACTGGCTGCAGTGAGCACACTCTCAAAGTTACTGTGAGAGAGGTTCAACTCGGTTGTATATAGGAAGCTCAGAACAGTTGCGAGACCCCCCGCAGACACACCATGCAGTTGAATTTCTGGTTGTTTAGTGGTACTCTCCTTCATTCCTCCAGTGAACATTGCACGGAAATAGTCGCTACATGATGCAAGAACCGCTTTGTGGCTGTAGAACTTCTTGTCTTCAGCTACAAGCACCACGTCAGCTAAACTACCAGAGATTCTAAGCTCATTCAAACCACTCAATAGTTGGTAGAAATACTTGACGATGACGGTGGAACTGCCATTGTTAGCGGCAAAGTAATCAGGAGGCGGTTCTGCCGATTCGTGTATGGCGTCCAACTTCAGATTAGGTGGTGCAAAACCATCTTCTGTTGAGAAATAAAAAACATATCAGTATTTGGATAAATCATGAAAAATCACACACAAAATTGTCATTTTACCGGGGCTTGCACTCATCTATAAGCTAAACTTGTTTTTCTTCGTAGCTTCTGACTTCCATGAAGCAAAGAATGAGAGTCATTTATTGTTGAGCAAAGTGATGGGGATAAGAGTGTTTAACCTTTTAAAACACCGACTTTACATTTTCAAAACAACAAAGATATTTAGAATAGAAACAATTGTTTTTGAATTCTAAGGCAGACAAGAACAACCTTTCACCAGGAAATTGAAAATTTTTCACACATGATACTGGTACTTAATTAAGTGAGTCAGTTGATTATAATGCGTTTTCATGGAAACCATTAAATGTAAAAACAATTATTGTCAGATGGTTTGAATTTTAACATTTTGGGCATCTGAATAAAAATTTAAAAATGTTTCTAAAAAATGACACAATGAAAGGGAATAGTCACCAACCAAAGACTGTTGATTATTTATTTATTGCAGAGGTAAGTTTTTCAATCGAAAGAAAATGTGGATGTTTGTTACAATTCAAGCTGTCAATTTTTGTTACTTGTCTAGAAAATGTGTGCATGTCTGTCAGAAAGAGAGCAGGACTGGTGCCTGGCTAAAACATGTTGACAAAACTCAAATAAAAAAACTTAAGTCACCAAACTTTCCACACACAAAATTGGTTACGATAGATTGTGGGCATCTGACCTAATGGTGAAAAATATATTACAATTTTTGGTTTTATCTCTTGTCATTTGACTTTTGTGATTTTTTCCCCCAGTACGATTTTCCCAATACTAAATAGAGGTATAAATTGGGAATTTTGGGACAACTTCCGTTAAAAGCATTATTTCATAACTTATGATAGGTAATCATCAGAATGTTCTAATAATTTTTGACAACCCAACTTATAACTACATGTATGTGAACAAAATGTTGTAGTATAGTGAGAACATTTGACCATAGAAACCGATAGCAATATGTAACATGTTTCTAATGATAACAATTTTCCCATACGCTGCTGTCAGAACAGAAACTGCAAATGCTCACTCATTATTCTGGTGAAAAGTATTGTTTATGTTTTTATAATGACATTCACAGTTTATGCTGTGTACATGTGTTTATTTAGTACTGAATCCCTATCTATTGTTGCATGTAAATACGGTATATAAATAAATATTGGTGATTCCATCAACAGATGGTGACGTTGTCTCACGTGATGATAACCTTTTGACCTCAACTATCATCCCTGTTTTTTGTGTGTAATTTGGTAACCATTTATTTTTCACCTGCAATTCGAGAAATGAAGCATAAAATAAAAACACAGTATAAAGGTCAATGAAATAGTATTTGTTTTAATGGCAGCCAACAACTTCAAAGAAACATTCGTGAAAACATATCATTGAAACGTATATACTTATGAGACTGGTTTCTATAATTGCTCAGAACTAATCTGGATTCCTATATAAATACCATATTTACTCTATTAGTAACGCATCTCCAATAGACATAAATCAAAAATTATGATCATTAAAATATGTTGTTTTGACCATAGACTCATTCATATATTATTAAGTGTATTTCTCAAATTGATAACTTTTTGGTAAAACGCACCTAACTTGGAACCAAAGAAACATTTTTTTTTTAGAACAATAATTGTAATACATGTTTTGTCCCTATTTAAAAGATATACCAGCAGGTTAGATGGCCTTAACCAAAAATGGCCTTTATATTTAAAATAGCTGGAAACACTGACTATCAATAACAAACATGTAAAAACTATAAATACCATTAGAATTTAAAAACACCAGTACAGACTACAAAATGAAGTAAAGCTGAAGAAAACAAAATAAATGCCACACAACCAATTAATATTGCTCTACAAAGAATCATTAATCAAAATGAAAACACAAATTGAGTCCGAATGAACCCACTAAAAAAAGCAATATACATCCATTAAAATAACAACAAATTCTATTAAGTACACAAAGCGATGGAAATGCGAGAGGAATTGCTGACAATGCACCGTCGCTGACAAGCGGCAACCATGCCAACTCAGCATAACCAGTTATATAATTGGAAGCAGTGTGTTTACTGCAGACAGAGTGGAATATTGATTCCTGGAATGGATTTGACAATTACAGTTGGCTGTGGTTACATGCATACAAAATGCAATACAGCCATAAATCCATTAGGATGCCAAATCAATACAGCGTACACTATACTACATAATTGAATACCTCTGTAATTTGTGAAAAACTACTGAAGAGTTGTTTATGACATAATCCAATATTGTCAACTGACAGGCACGTGACATTTAACGACTCAAAATCAATCGAGGCAAGAAATTGAGATGGGGATCAGTGTTCTGACACAAGCATGTTCTTTAGGGCTCAGCGTAAGCAAACCCCCCCCCATGACTTTTTTTTTTCTGATGAACATGCACGCCAGGGCCTAGTTCAAAAGTGGCCCCTATCAACTTTTTTTTGGTTTCTACCAAAATACTGTAAAACTAAAGAAAGAGAAAGAAAGAAAAAGATGCATCAACCCCCCCTTTTTTTTGAACAATTTTTTTTAGCCTAATGTTTCAATACTTTATTTCCTTAAATTTAGTATTCATCACAGAATGAAGGATGAGTAAATCCAAGTAAATATACAAAGGGCAGAATGACTCAGAACATAGTGAGCTGACTGAAATATCAGACGAGATGTAACAAAATGATAATACTGAAATAAAATGGAGAAATCAGTTTGACACTAAGCAGTTAGACTCCATGACCTTTTCTCAGTGATTTAGTCTGATGAAAGTCAGACACTTTCAAAGTGATGGGGAATATACATAAAAAAGAACACCTGCAGATTTTACATTATGATAATGATTACGTTATCAAACGATGATGTAAATGAAATGAGGGTCTGCGACAGGTAGTTGTGACTGAACACACAAAATTGTTAAAGTGTTGTGATCGCTCCATGGCACATGTTTGAATTTCATATTTTAAATAAATTGTTTACATCCCTTTGGCACCTGAAAGGCCTCAGGAGAAACTAGAATTAATTTCATGAGCATCATAAATAATATTTAATCATTTTTATTATCAGCCATATGCACCACCACTACTATGTCAAGTAAACAAATATGGAAATCACCCAAAATTGAAGAAGGTTTTATGAAGGACTAACATTTTTGTTGAATAAAGAGAAAAGAAGAGACTTATACAAAAATGTATGTAAATGTGACAGTGACTTATTATAAGTATGACTTGTACCAACTTTGAAATGCATCACACACAGCATGACAGGGAAATAGATGGCAACACGCTGTTTTATCAGTGTCCTACAGACTAAGTCTACAGAGATTATCAAATTAGAAATTGAAAATAATCCTGTGTAATAATGTCCTGTTTTCTCTATAATTACAGCATAATAGACCATAAAAGCAATTCATTCAAAATTACACTACAATAAAATAATAAACCTCTAAATAATACCAAAAGGGCATGTGTTAATTTTTAAAGGTAGGTATAACTTTTTATTTTTTCATAC